CCCCACTCACTGAGCACCCCCAGTGTCCCATCACATCCTGGGTACCTCGATGTCACCCCCTCTTCCTGGGCAGTGTGTGTCCCCTCACACCCTGGGCACCTCAGTGTCCCTCCCATCCCTGAGCACCCCGCTCTCTCTCCACTCCCTGGGCACATCCTCGGTGCTGGCACACGCCCAGGGCCGGGGTGCCCGTTGTCCCAGCACCACCCACTCTTAAGCCCCCGATGCCACCGGAGGCCTCCGACACCCCCCCGCCCCACGCCGGTTCCGGGCCCTGCTGGAGATCAGGGGATGCTTTAGGGGGGCCGGGCAGAGGGCGGACCCCTCCGACAGCAGGGTCTCTCCCACCTCGCCCCCACCCCTACACCGCCCCGCTCCTTTATTCCCGGCTTTGCCGCATTGCGGAACCGCCCCGCACGCAGGCGGTGCCGCAGCCCCCTCCCCACAGGCAGCGCGCTTGCAGCCCCCCGCACCCCACGGCTGCCCCCCCGCCCTTTCCCCTGATCCCCCTGCCCCCCGCAGTGCCCCCCACTCCCGGGGCCGAGTCTCCCTTTTGTTGTGGCCCTCACAGAGCCGGGAGGGGGCGGGAAGGGTTGCGGGGTGGCGGGAGGGGGCATCGGGACACCCAGGCTGCGGGAACAGCGGTGACACCTCCGTGCTTCCTCCCGCAGGGAATGCGGTCACCCGCTGCCCCCAGCACTGGGGTTGGAGGGGTTTTCCCTCTGCCCTCCGGGTGGGGCGGGGGCGCGGGCAGGGGTGGGTGCCACCCCTCCGCGGATCCAGCCCCCCAGTGCCACCCTGGGCCAGCCGAGGGGTGGCGGGGCCCCTCCACCACACCACGGCCTCATCCGGCACCCCGGAGAGGAGCGACCCCCCCTGAGCTGCCCTGTCTCTCCATCTGAATGAACCTGTCACATCGATGGTGGCAGCGGATGGACAGACAGACAGACAGAGCTGGGTTCTGCGGGAAAACAGGCTAAAAATAGCAATAGCCTGTGTCTGGGATGTCAGCCCTGAGCCACGACAGCTCCTGATGGGGCTGAGACCCCTGGATCCCCGGGGAGGGCGTGTCCCGGTCGTGGGGTTCGAGGTCACCAATTTGGGATCTTCAGGAAGGGCCCAAACTGGGGGAGGCTGGGAATCTCGTCTGTGCCACGGGCAGGAGTCCAGAAGCCAGGAAATCAGCCCACGCAGGAGGAGATGCCAGCTCTGGGAGCCCCCGAGTCACCCAGCCCTGGTGGGGACAGCCATGGGGACTCTGTGCAGACAGGGGGGACCCAGGGGGGGTCCAGGGTCTGTCCCACCCGGTGGCACCAGTGGGGTAGACATGGCAGGGGGAGGACAGCAACCGTCACCAGGAGCCACAGCGTTGCTACCAACAGTCAACAGAGCACAGGCGATGGGAAGTGCGGGGGGGGGAGGCTGGGAGCTGTGCCAGACCCCCCTGCACCAGCACTCACCCGGGCTAGAGATTTGGGGGCTGCAGAGCTGGTGACCTCCATGGCAGTTGGGTGGGCACTGGGCCTGTGTACCCCCCCTTGGCACAGCAGAGTGATCAGGCACTGGGGGTCCTGGAGCTGCTGCCCCACCCTCGGGGTCAGGCACTGGGTGTCCCAAGGATGGGGCCTCACCCACAGCCGAGTGAGGGCCTGGGGATGGTGCCCCCACCGTGACAATAAGGCCAGGCAGAGATGGGAACCCGGCCTTGTCTGCCTGCAACCCCCCGCCCTGCAGGCCCCAGGATGGATGTTGGGGAAGGGGGATGTGAGGGGGGGGGGTTTCCAGCCTGTCTCCTAGCAACCCCAGCAGTTGCCTGGCAGCAGTCGGTGTGGGACGTGTGGTTGCCCATATCTAAGGAGATGGGAGGGGGCTGGGGGGCACCGGTGGGACTGCAGCACCCAGTGCCCCTCACCCTACACCCCATATCCCCCACTGGGGCTGAGCCAGCCCCTGCCCTATGAGCACCTCCCACCCACAGCTCAGGGCAATAGGATGGGTGGAGACCCTCCTTAGCTTGGAGGATGGTGCCCGAGTCAGGCTGTAAGCCCCTAAAACCCCTGGCTTTGGGGACACAATGGGGACACCCCGACAGGCTCCACACTGGTGTTGAGCACTTGGGACTGAAGGGGGACAAAGGCAGGAGGCATTTCCCGTGTAGGGATGGACTTACAGTGGGGTCAGGGCTAGGGGCTGAGCTGCTTTGGGGTCAGGGTGCCCCAAAACAGCCATTTGTAATGGGCACCAGCCTGGTGGGAGCCAAATCTCCTATTTTTTCTCTGCTTAGCAAGCCAGAACCACCTGGTCCTTTGTTCTGGTGGGCGATGCCCAAATCTCATCCCTTCTTTGTTTGCAGCTCTGCAGCCCCAGC